TCGGCTAAGAAGATTTGGGAGATCCTAGAGGGCAAGTATTTGACCAAGAGTGTAGAGAACCATTTGCATTTGAAGAGGAGGTTTTATCGCTTTCAATTGAAGAAGGGGACCTCCATTGGTGATCATATGAACCACTACACGAAGCTTCTTACGGATTTGGTGAATGTAGATGTGATGATTGAAGATGAAGACAAGGCATTGTTATTGTTGAGTTCCTTGCCCGACGAGGAATATGAGACCTTCATTCTTACTCTTATTAATGGGAAGTCATCTCTTTCGTATAGTGAGGTCACCGCTGCACTTGTGAATTATCAGCTTCGAAAGAAGGACAAGGAGACTTCAGTTGAGCTGGTAGCGGGGGCATTGGTCGCAAGAGTAAAGAGTCTAAACCGTGGTAGAAGGTTGCAGTCTAGAGGGGTACATCTTGAAATTCGTAGGAATTAGTGTGCTTTTTGTAAAGAAGATGGATATTGAAAAGTCGAATGCCCAAAGCTAGTTGATCGAGCTAGGAAGAATAAGGGGAAAGCTATTCAAGCTTCAGAGGTGAATGCTGTCAAGGCTAGTGGTAACAATTCAGATTCAGATTCTTCTGGTTACTCGTTATCTGCACTGTCGTCAGTTTGTGTTGCCAACTCTATAGAGTGGATGTTGGATTCGGGTGCTACATACCACATTTACCCTTGGAGGGATTGGTTCTCTAGCATTCAGGAGTTGAAAAGAGGGAATTTCGTACTCATGGGTAATGATCATGAATGCTCTATTGGTGGTATTAGTACCATTCGGATTAAAATGAGTGACAGAGTGATTCGGGAGTTGGTTGGAGTGAGGTTCGTTCCTCAGTTGAAGAAAAATATCATTTTATTTAGAGCTTTGGAAGCAGTAGGCTATGGGGTGACCTTGGTAGATGCATGTTTGAACGTCATATTTAGGTCCATGATTGTGATGAAGGGCGTCAGGAGGAATAATTTATATTATTTGATTGGGAGCACGGTGTTTGATAGAGAGCTGACGACTTCTTTGGATTTGGCTAGACTGTGGCATTTGTTGAGGCTAGGTTATTTGATTGGTTATGCTGTGCATTGTTTGTTGTGGAGTGCTTTGACCTACAGTTTGAAGTCCTTTGAGTACGTTGGTATGAGCAAGACCACAGTGGAGTTTAGCACTTCTATCCATCGATCGAGTGGTCTTTTAGGAGGTGTTCAGTCGGGCGTTTGGAAGCCTTCCAAGGAGGCATCATTGGAAGGTAATCGGTATTTGGTTTCCGCAGTTGGTGATTGTTCTAGGCATTATTAGGTAGCGACTAGTTCCCGTTGGTGTAAAGTCCTAGAAGTCAACAACAATTAGAAGAAGTGTATTGATAGAAAGGTAACTCATCGTTCTAGCTTTGATAGGGGTTCTTTCTTACATTTGTGCCGAGCTCATGGTAGTTTGAGACACTTTATTGATATGGAGACATTAGGGCGACGAGATGAGATGACGTTTTTGATGGGTCATTCCTTACTGGAGGGGGGTCGGTGTTGGTTGTCGAGCATTGGTTTTGGTTTTGGAGCTTCGACATATTTGAGTCATCTTAGTCATAGGTTGCCGACTACTGCATTTGGAGTTATTGGATCTGGTGGAGGTGCTTCAGATTTTGGTTGGCGTCGGATGTTTGGTTACCCAGCATTTAGTCACATCATGGATGTGAGATTTGATCCGATTGCGCGTTTGGGATTCAGAGGCTCGTTTGATTATCGGTTGGGAGCTTCTGATTTTGTTCTGAGCAGGTATGTTACTTTTGACTCTCGGCAGGTGGAGAGTGTTGATCAGGTTATTTGGATATCATAGCGGGTGGAGGGTGATGCTACTTCATATTAGATGGAGATTACTCCACATACTCTAGATCATACTGCATCGTTTGAGATTCCAGCTGAGGTGACACAGGTTAGGAATCATTTGGATTTGGATGCAGATGATGGATTGGTTTTGGATTCGGTTGCAGCTCGTGGACATGATTTGGATACAGCCATTGGTTCACCTCAGATGGAGGTGTTTGATACGTTTTAGTTTGGGGACATTAGGAGCGCTATTAGTTGCAAATCCGTTGGTGATATTGGTGAAGAGTTGCAGACTTTTCTATTTGTTTGAGGACATTTGGAGACCGTTTGGATGAACTACGTGAAAGCTTGATTCCTTAGGCAAGAGGATACGTAGGCAGTCTTTATGATGCAGCCGATTTGATGAGTAGATACCGATGTTTGGAGAGTGTTCGCATTCTCATTTAGGTTTCGACTTGTTGTGGATTGAGTCCATTGTCGTAAATCGTTTCACTTCGTACTGGACGCAACAAGTGAGGTATTTGGTTTGGTTGGTGTCGGCTTAGTTTTGGAAAATCTTCGCCGAGGTGGAGATTTATGGAGAAATCAGAGATTTCGTCCAGATTGTGCAGATTCTGTGTCATAAGTCGACTCATGCACAGACATAAGTCGACTTATGGTAAGTCAATGGTAAGTCGACTTACGTTCTGTTCTGGAATTGTTGGTTTTGGCTCTGTCAAGTCGACTTGTGAAGCCTGTTAAGTCGACTTGTGGTAAGTCGATGGTAAGTTGACTTACGATCTGTTCTCCAGTTGCTGTTTTTCTCTCTGCCAAGTCGACTTATACACCCTGTTAAGTCGACTTATAACGGGTTTTCTGCACAGTTAGAGTTCCTATTTGGATTCTGTTTGGGTTTCTGTTTTGGTATAAATAGGAACACGATTTTGAGGATTTGTAAGGCTTGAATTTGGGATATTTGGAGCACATGAAAGAAGTATTTTCTGAGCTATTTGATTAGGGTTTATTTGGAGAGATTAAGAGCTTTGTTGGTGAGATTAGTTTGTTCCTTTGAGTGATTTGTAATCTCAATTTGTACTATTCTTCTCTATTAGTGAAAACTCCATCCTCTTCTTGCCCTGTGGACGTAGGCAACTTGCCGAACCACGTTAAAATAAGTTTGTTTGTATTTGTGGCATTGATTTGGTTGATTTGACCTTTATCTCGACGTTTGATATTTGGTTCCTCAAAGCACGTTTGGTTGTTTGGCTTCCGCACAGCGCACAACATTGTGTCCAAATCTGTATAAGAAAATGGATTGTGATATTTGAAGGTTTTTTATGTCCAATTTTATATAAGTGATCAGCCACAATTGTAACTACAGTCGCAACTGTATTTATCAAGCATGAAGAATCAAACAAGTACAACTTGTCCATAGTGTTACAATTGCATTTAATTAAGCATATACTTGAACCGAGACCATATTAACACATCCTCATAAGGCATTGACTACATTGTACCACAACTTTTTACCACCATCAAACCATCAATCATGTAACCCACCAAGACAAAAGCAGCAAATAATATTGACTCCTAACCATTATCAGCATCCAATCACATGAGATTAAGCTCTAGTCCACTGCAATAATTCAACAAGGCAGCTGGTTTGCTTTTAATTTATGTCATCATGCTTAGGTTTACCTTTATAAAATTTTAGTATGTTTAATGGCCATTGAGATTCTCCTAGTATGTGGTGGTTCAAGCTTATAGTGTCTTGTCTCACTTTAGTTGACTTGCTATTATATAACTAGTAATATTGTTCTTGAAATAATTGATGAGAATCATTTGAAATGTTCTTTGAATGGAAGATAATCATATTCTTTTCATTAATTGGTGGATGAAGGCTTAACCAACATTTAGAATAGAGTAATTAATTGGTGGTGACGATTTAACTGATGGTGTGCAAAAATATGGGAAAAAGATTGAGATACAAGAATATTGGATCAAAAATTTAGTTACATCAATTGTAATTTTTCTTTCATTAATTTTTTTTTTGAATAAAAGACAGATTATCAAATCCTCTTTACATAAGAATTCTCAAATTCTCATTGTTAAACAAATTTCTTGGAAAATCTAGCTGAGGATATATAATATTTGATGAAAATCATAGTGGTAGGTGAGTTTGGTTGGATAATGTGAGATTTCAGGTCCAAATATAACAAGACATGGTTTCTTGCAATAAAGCTTCTCTCAAGCTACATCATTCCTCCCTCTCTCTCTTTTTATTTTCCTTTTAGTCAGTAGCCCATAAAAGTATGATAGCTGCTTGTTACCAAATTCCTCCATGGCCTTTTCTTCCACGTGTTATATATGCCCTACTCTCCCTTCATATCAAAACTAATCATGAAGATGTTTGCGATCACTAATTGATGACTAATAATGATTTTAACACCCATAACAGTTTTATTGTAATCTATATCAAGTTCTTCAAATTTGGTCGTGTATAGGACATAATTATGACTTGATCAGATTGGATTGGCCCATATAGGAGAGGAAGGTTTTTCTCAACTTGAATTAACGTATAGAGTTGCAAAGGTTGGAATTTAATTATAAATTGAAATTAGTTCAGAATATTAGAAATAATTCAAAGGGCGGTCCCTAGAGCACTAAGCTCTCACCATTGTAGGGTCTGGAACCGGCCAAATGTATTCCTGTAAGTTAACTCTTAGATGCAAAGGGATTGTTCTTAGATTCAAACCCGCGACCTCTAGATCACACGGCAATAACTTTACCACTGTGCCAACGCCTTAGTACTCTCTAAGATGCAAACTAGAATGGATTGTTTAAAATGTTCAGAATGTAATTAAGATTCACATGGAATCTTAATAATAGTGTCTCATATCTAAATTTATCTAAACTCCCATCCAATTATCTTAATACTCCACATAGAACTATTCTCAAAGCAAACATTTTTTTCCCCATATTTGATGGAGATGCACAGCACGCATTATTATTATTATTATCAAATACAACCTTTGTTGAAAAAGGAAAAATATATAATAGAGTTAAGAGTCTTTCTCTCTCACAATCGCGCGCTCTCCATCTCAGCAACCCTTCACCTAATCTAATTAACTAAACCTAATATACCATGCTCTTTCTCTCTCATGATTGTAACACACATATACAAAACATGAAACGTTAAACAAATGGGAGCAGTTTCCCCCACTCCTCAAAATTCTCTTCTTCCATCTAATTATTCCTATTAATTACCTTCATCCCTTCTCCTCATTCTCCCTCTTTCTCTCTCCTCCTCAACCTTTTCTAGAGAGAGAAAGTGAGAATGCCTCAGAGAGGCTATGTATTGATCTTCGTCTTATGGGCTCTGCTCACATTGATCACCCCAACGCTCATCTTTTGGTCCGCATCAGCAAAACCCAATTTGGATTCTCAAGGTAATACCCTTTCGATATTCAAATTTTCAACATATATTTTGCAGAATTAATAATTGACTAGAGCTTCTTAATTTGATGGTAATATGTATGCATAGAAGAAACAGTGAAGGAGATGAAGGCAAGGAGGATGATGGTCACGTTGGAGAGAGCTGATCACCATAAAAAAGACAAAACAGTTGCGACTGCAGTTACAGCCGAAGCTCCAGCTCCATCTCCATTACCGTTAATGGGGAATGAAACAGTTAGGTAAAGATGGGTTTTTTCTTTTTTCTTTTTTCTTTTTTCTTTTTTTTTTTTGAAAAAAAAATAAATTTTTAGAGGGAACAAATTGCATGATATACGAGGGTACGTGGCTCTGTATTTGAGAGGAGGGTGTGAATTCCGTTACAATTTTAGAGTAAAATGCATAGGGATCATAAATACTTGGATTGATCGATTCATTTGATTTGTTTAATTTGTATATTATTTTCTTTTACAGTACTTGTTTGTCATTGACATAAGTCTAGCTAAGGTGATATTGGATTGTAGAGGACATTTGTATCCTCTCTTTAACTTCCATGGTATTTGATAAATTAGACAGATTTTTATTTTTATTTTTATTTTATGCGTATTACAATTAATCATTTTTTAGACTAAAACAAAGTTTTGATGAGGAAAAAAAATGTGCATGATGTCCTTTTCAACGGGGGAGAGATCGAGATGCCAACGTAGGTCTAACTCTCAATTGACAAATTAATGGGAGTTGAGTGCAAGAGTAGTCGTGTTAGTTGATCAAGGAGGTGAAAATTGACTACAGGAAGTACGGATTCGTTATAATTTGCGAATTTGTATGATATATTTATCTTTTCGGCCATACAAATTGAAATTCTACGCTATAAATATGAGCCATTACTTTGTTACGCGCCGGGGACCTAGACAATCACATTGATCGTCATAAATCGTTAACTATATCTGAATTATTATCGATTTTCTCTGGTTTTTGCTCTATGTTTCTGTTCGTTCTTTCCTTCGATCTGTGCTTAGTTTTGCGGTGCGGTGCTAACATAATTTTCATCTTACATCATGTGATTTTACTGCTTCATTTTTCTTATAGTTGTAAAATTGGCGATCTGAGTCATTGATTCTAGGCCCAGCACCAGAATGGATGCTAGTAGTTGTTCCTACTGTTGTGGACTGTCCTGTTTAACAAATACGCATGAATCCTAGTTCCCCGTATAGGGGGAAAAAGATAACATTTAAGGATCTTAGGGAGAATAAGAGTCCTCTCAGAACCGCCCGCATGCATGCAGTTCTGAGCCGCAAATGGGAAGGGACAATTACAATATGAAGAAACTCAGAAGAATCAGGCAAACCAGGCGGCGGTCGACCGGTCCGGTCGACCGCATTCGTGCACAAGGCTTCCTGTGCGTCTGGAAGGAGATCGGTCGACCGGTGCGGTCGACCGACGGTTCTCTGGAGTTTGGGTTTTCTACTGAGAGCTGGTCGGTCGACCGGGCCGGTCGACCGGAATTGATCGCGGTCGACCGGTCCGGTCGACCGACGCTGTTTTGGGCTGGGCTTTCAGGTTTTCGACCCGATTCGTTTTGTAAGTTCTATATATACCTAAACCTGTTTGTTTAGGGTAGAGGTTGGACGAATTTGAGCAGCCAAAGAGAGAGAATCATTGCATCCAATTGTGAGAGAGCTTTGAGAGATCTAGAGCTTTGTTTTAGGGTTTGGTCTGAGAGATTTGTAACCCTATTTGTATTCTCTTGATTTCTAGTAGAAAGAACTCCCCCCTCCTTGCCCCGTGGACGTAGGCAACTTGCCGAACCACGTAAATTGTGTGTTCTTGCTGTGATTGTGGTTTGCATATTGTTTGTGGTTTTAGTTCGAGTTATTGTTCGTGTTGCCCTAGAAAGCTTCCGCCGCGCACAACAATTGGTATCAGAGCTAGATCGACAACATGGGAGATGCAAGCACGTCAGGTTCGTCTCTAACAAAGGCGATACAGAGTCTGAGCATCAATAACACGAAGATTGATGTTCCGAAGTTCGATGGCAAGATCAATTTTGGATTGTGGAGGTGTCAGGTGATGGATGCTTTGGATGCACAGAATTTGGAGGAGACTCTTGAGTTAAAAGAGAAACCCGCTGAGTTGGAGGATAAGGTTTGGAGAAAGATGAACAGTAGAGCTTGTGGTGTTATTAGGTCATGCTTGACGCCGGATCTTATTTATGATGTTATGAACGAGACGTCGGCGAAGAAGATGTGGGAAACACTCAATGAGAAATATCTTACGAAGAGCATTGAGAATCGGCTTCACTTGAAGAAGAGATTTTACCAGTTCAAGATGAAGAGAGGGGTTTCCATCAGGGAGCATGTCAACAATTTCACTAAGCTACTTTCAGATATGGCCAATGTTGATATTATAGTTGAGGATGAAGACAAGGCGATGCTACTTCTGTGTTCGTTGCCCGAAGATGATTATGGTACGTTCGTTCTCACTATGATCAATGGAAGAACTACAGTTAGCTACAAGGAGGTGACCTCAGCTTTGGTGAACTATGAGTTGAGGAAGAGTGATGGTGAACCCTCCGAGAAGGCATCGGGAGATGCGTTAGCAGTTCGAGGCCGAGATCCAAACCGTCGTCAGTTCAACCGCTCAAAGTCAAAGAATAGGAGTGCCTATAAGAGTGTTGGTAGAAATCAATGTCGGTATTGTAAAGAAGAAGGACATTGGAAGATTGACTGCCCAAAGTGGAAAGAAAAAGCCGGAAAGAATAAGGGGAAAGCTGCACAAGCTTCAGAAGTGAATGTTGCAAAAGCTATTGGTGAGCATTCAGATTCAGATTCTTCAGGCTATTCATGCCCTGCTTTACCGTCGGTTTGCTATGCGGATTCCACGGAGTGGATGATGGATTCGGGAGCTACATATCACATCTGCCCTAAGAGGGAGTGGTTTTCTAGCTTTGAGGAGCTGGAAAGAGGGGATGTCGTGCTTATGGGTAATGATCACGTATGCCCTATTGGTGGTATTGGTTCAGTCCGGATCAGGATGCATGATGGTGTAGTGAGGGAATTGAAGGAAGTGAGGTTCGTGCCGCAGTTGACGAAGAACATCATTTCTCTTGGGACTTTGGAGGCAGCAGGATATCGAGTGATCTTAGAGGATGCTACAGTGAAGGTCACGAAGGGTTCTATGGTGGTGATGCGAGGTGTCAGGGAAAACTACCTATACTACTTGAAGGGCAAGACAGTTACAGGGGGTCTGGCAGCTTCTATCACTACAGAGGAGGACACTACCACCTTATGGCACATGAGACTTGGACACACAGGAGATAAGTCCCTACAGTCATTGGCTAAACAGGGGCTATTGAAAGGTGCTAAGACCTGCAAGATGGAATTGTGTGAGCATTGTGTACTTGGGAAGAAGACTAGAGTGAAGTTCGGCACCGCTGTTCATAACACCCAAGGTACATTGGATTATATTCACACGGACGTTTGGGGTCCTTCCAAGAACACATCTCTTGGTGGGGCCAACTATTTTGTCACTTTCATTGATGATTATTCCAGGAGGAATTGGGTATACCCGATGAAGCATAAACATCAGGTCCTGGATATTTTTGTGGAGTGGAAAAAGAAAGTGGAGCTGCAGACAGGTAGAAAGGTGAAGACTCTACGTTCAGATAACGGTGGAGAGTACAAGAGTGATCCGTTTCTGCAGTTTTGCCGGGATCACGGCATTAGAAGACACTTCACAGTTCGAGAGACACCGCAACAGAACGGGGTGGCTGAGAGATTGAACCGTACCTTGCTGGAGAAGGTGCGGTGTATGATGACGCAGAGTGGATTGCCTAGATCTTTTTGGGCCGAGGCGTTGGTTTATGCGAGCCATCTTGTGAACAGGTTGCCGTGCACTGCGATAGACGGGAAGACTCCTTTGGAGCGTTGGTTTGGTTCGGAGGCTAGTGACTATGAGTCGCTTCGGATATTCGGGTGTCCAGCTTATTATCATGTCAGTGATGGTAAATTAAATCCGAGAGCGAGGAAAGCAGTCTTTGTGGGATTTAGAGATGGAGTCAAAGGCTTCAAGTTATGGGATCCACAGGACAAGAAGATAGTTATTAGCAGAGATGTCACATTTGACGAGGCGTACATGATGAGGCCTCGAACCCCTCAGCAGGTGGAGGGAGACCAGACAGGAGAGATATCGCAGCAGGTGGAGGATGATGTGACTCCACCCACTCCAGAGAACACTGTATCCATTGAGGCTCCTACAGAGGTGACACTGGGAGGAGATGAGATGACAGATGGGCAGATACAGGATACAGTAGATCATGGGACTCAGGAACAGGGTCATGTTCAGAGGACCATTGCAGCAGATAGACCGAGGAGAGAGATTCGTCGGCCAGCTAGGTATAATGATGTCATGGTCGCATATGCATTATCAGTGGAGGTCGTTGATGATATGGTTCCAGCCACATTCAGGGAGGCAGAGTCTAGCCCCGATTCGATCAGGTGGAGGGAAGCTATGGAGGAGGAGATGCGGTCTCTTCAGAAGAACGACACTTGGACACTTGCACATCTACCTAAGGGTAAGAAAGCTATTGGTTGCAAGTGGGTATATGCGAAGAAGGAGGGATCTTCTATTGGGGACATTCGGTTCAAAGCCAGATTAGTTGCCAAGGGATATGCACAGCTTGAGGGCATTGATTACAACGAGGTATTTTCACCCGTTGTGAAGCATTCGTCGATTCGGATTTTATTGGCGTTGGTGGCACAGTTGGATTTGGATTTGGTCCAGATGGATGTGAAGACAGCCTTTCTACACGGTGATTTAGATGAGGAGATCTACATGACACAACCACAGGGTTTCAAAGCTGCAGGAAAGGAAAATTTGGTTTGTAAGCTGAAGAAGTCTCTTTATGGTTTGAAGCAGTCACCAAGACAGTGGTATAAGAGATTCGACGGCTTTATGATTGGCCGAGGGTACACAAGGAGCCCATATGACCCATGTGTTTATATGCACAAGCTACAGGATGGTGAGCTCATATATTTGCTTTTATATGTTGATGATATGCTTATTGCTTCCAGGAATTCTTCGGCTATTCGAAAGCTGAAAGAGGAGTTATCATCCGAGTTTGAGATGAAGGATCTTGGAGAGGCAAAGAAGATATTGGGTATGGAGATCGAGCGAGACAGGGTGAAGGGGAAATTGAAGCTAACACAGAGGAGTTACTTGCAGAAGATGTTGAAGAAATTCAGCTTTGATGGCAATGCAAAAGCAGTTAGCACACCATTGGCTCCCCACTTCAAGCTTTCAGCGTTGATGTCACCTGTTTCAGTTGAGGACAGAGATTATATGTCGAAGGTCCCATATGCTAGTGCAGTAGGTAGCTTGATGTATGCGATGGTGTGTACGAGGCCAGATTTGTCACAGGCCGTGAGCATGGTATCGAGATACATGCATGACCCCGGGAAGGGTCACTGGGAGGCCGTGAAGTGGATTCTACGGTATGTTCGAGGCACCGTGGATGTTGGTTTAGTGTTTCAGAAGGATGAGAAGGACGGGCA